ACAAGGCGTCAGCAAGCGCCAGGACCGTCTCCTAAAGTTGATTCAGCTGCGGGATCGGGGCACCACCAGTGCAGAACTTGCTCAGGAATGACAGCAGGCATGTGTGAGTGCATCTGCATGCACAGTGAGGCGAAGACTTTTGGAGGATGGCCTGGTGTCAAGAAGGGCAGCGAAGAAGCCACTTCTCTCCAGGAAAAACATCAGGGACAGACTTATATTCTGCAAAAGGTACAGGGATTGGAAGGATTACTTTTATACTATCCCAGGTATTCCTTAAAGAGGTAGGGTTTCAAGTGTCTCCGGAAGGTGGTCAGTGACTCCGCTGTTCTGGCGTCGTGAGGGAGCTTGTTCCACCATTGGGGTGCCAGAGCAGCGAACAGTTTTGACTGGGCTGAGCGGGAACTGTGCTTCCGCAGAGGTAGGGGGGACCAGCAGGCCAGAGGTGGAAGAATGCAATGCCCTCGTTTGGGTGTAGGGACTAATTAGAGCCTGGTGGTAAGGAGGGGCCGTTCCCCTCACAGCTCCGTAGGCAAGCACCATGGTCTTGTAGCAGATGCGAGCTTCAACTGGAAGCCAATGGAGTGTGCGGAGGAGCGGGGTGACGTGAGAGAACTTGGGAAGGTTGAACACCAGACGGGCTGCAGCGTTCTGGATGAGTTGTAGGGGTTTAATGGCACAGGCAGGGAGCCCAGCCAACAGCGAGTTGCAGTAATCCAGACGGGAGATGACAAGTGCCTGGATTAGGACCTGTGCCGCTTCCTGTGTAAGGTAGGGTCGTACTCTGCTAATGTTGTAGAGCATGAACCTACAGGATCGGGTCACCGCTTTGATGTTAGTGGAGAACGACAGGGTGTTGTCCAGGGTCACGCCAAGGTTCTTTGCACTCTGGGAGGTGGACACAACGGAGTTGTCAACCGTGATGGCGAGATCATGGAGCGGGCAGTCCTTCCCCGGGAGGAAGAGCAGCTCCGTCTTGCCGAGATACTTACATACTGTATACTACATACTTAATGAGTATATACTATATACTATTAGTTCATTTTAGTATACTGTATACGAACGGTATCGTTTCAGTTGAGCGTACTAGCGTTTCGCCTGTCTACCGGAAGTTGATGCTGTTGCCATGCAACCTCTTGCTAGCTTGTTAGCATAACAAATGACTAGCTAGACATTTTACGATTTCGGGTGTGTTCGTAAATTCAATCTGGAGTGCCAGAGTGCGCATTCGTAAATCCAGAGCGTTGTCAGATTGTAAATTCAGAGCGCACACTGGACGCTCTGGCCAAGGAGTACGGTTGATCCGAGCGTTCAACGGCAGTCAAGCACCCAAGCTAACGTTGGCTAGCTACTTCCAGAAACAAATGAGAACACCTCACTCTGACCATTTTTCTCGCCCTAGCAGAGCTGGGTAGGCTGTTTTCATGTTATCCAGAGCATTGGTGACTGTAACTGTGCTGCTGGCAACAATTTAATTATGCTTTTTTTTGCTGACGTTTACTGACACCGACCATATTAATCGGGTGTTAAGTGTTCGTAAATTCATCAGCTATTCTGCACTCTGGCACACTCAGACGAGCATGCTCTGAAATAGATAGCCAGAATTAACAATGTCCATTGAAACGCATGACTATACCACTTAGCTAAGAATGATGTGAATAATCAAGTCAATAAACGTTGGTTAGTTAGTTAGATAGCAGATAGTTAATATACCTTCTGGCAAGTTCGATGTATTAGTAGCCAACTAACTTTAGGTAACTAGCTAACATACCGGTACATACTGCTGTAATGCTATGCGGTTCGTAAGGATAGCGTAACTAACAAATTGTCAGCCAACGTAACTTATTTGAAAAGTCATTACTTTATTACATTGCTCAACATTTTCTTAACATTTGTCATAATTAGTTAAAGCAATGAATTTGTATCCGTTCTCATCTGACTTTTCTTCAAATCTGAAAATGTTGTTAAGCCACGCCCATCTTCTGAAGAATTGCATTATGGGCCCTAAAACACAGAAATAGTGTCCACTGCTTATATACCTAATATTTTGGCGAATTTAGTAGGACACAGCTCTAGTGTTTTCATTCCCCTTTAAGAGGTGACTTGGAGGAGTCAAATATGCTTGCTATGTTGACCTTAGCAGTAGAGGTATACAGCTTAATGGTTTTACACTGTAATTTCTGGAACATTTATGCAGTAGTCCGTTTCTAGTGTATCAAGTTGCAGTAAGTAATGTTACTCATTCAAACAGGGAAGGCTAATATAAAACTTCAATCATATGATGAGAAAATAGCTGACAAAATGCACTCTGTGGACCACAGCGTGATAGATAACGACACATTACATTTCTGTTGCATGTTTATTTTACATGACCGGCTCAACTACAAAATGATCTTACCGTAACATCCCGAAAGGTGTTTCCTGGCAAAAATGGCAAGCTTGTAATATTCAAAGAATTGTTTTAAACCTGGAAATAATGGACAATTACTGAACAGAAACTATAAGGTTTAGCCAGCAGGATATTCACCTTTTATTTAAGCGAACTTCCATGTAACTCTGGTTTAAATAGGGTGAGGTGACTAAGGAAAGGAATAGTATCAGTTGCCATGGGAAACATAAACAAAACTAACATCGCTCAAAGAAAATGCACGAAAGTTGCATGTTTCGCCGCCAGATGGCGCACAATCTTCCTGATACACTGAACTGTGATGATGTGGATCAAATATTTGTGTGAATTCACATAGCTAGGTAAAAATAAAAAGTCAAGACCTTATTTTCAACAGAGTTTATTCCAAGCACAGGAGTCATATTTTGGTCTCACTTACCAGCTATTGTATTGGCATATTTTCTGTCCAATTCAAATTGAAACATAAGCTTTTTCAATAAAAAAAACATGATTGCAGTTGGAGTGAAGATTCTTCACTGCGTTCTCATATCACCTTTCAGTCAAGAAAATCCTAAACTTCTTATGATAAACCATGATTCCTATGGTTCACCCAGTGCAACTGAACTGGATTGATAATAGCTTATATTATTAACAACATGATCATTACAATAAAACCTGACAGATAGCACTACAGTGTCATGTGAGGGTTAACCCTAGTATTGATGACCACAGTAATATTTAGGAAGCTCTTTCACTGGTAGGTAAATTAACATGATTGTGTTCTGTAGCAAGTGCAATGTAATTTTTTTTACACCTTTTTTTAGCCATTTCCTTGCCTGTGGTCCTAGATCTGTTTGTGCTGTCTTGACATGTCCTATGGCCATTGGCATGACAAAACTGATCGAAGGCCAGCCTTGCCATTTTCATGTGGACAACACACACACAAAAGCCTGTTTGACAAAATGAGAAACAACAAATTGGTAAACTGAAAAAGATTATTGCAATTGACTGATTGATCGATTACTAATATAATAGCTTGACTGGAGTACCTTTTCCACCAACAGACATCCTTGTTGCTGGGTAAGGCAGTGCACTGTGCATATTAAAACATAAAAAAAAAAAGCTTATTAAATCGCTTGACCTCTTTGAGGTGTTTTACATGGTGTTTTTTCTTTCTTTTTTAAATGCTGACATCTGGAGTATTGTACAGGGCCTGTATTCATAAATTGACTCAGATTAAGAGTGCTAATCTAGGATCAGTTTTGCCTTTTATATCATAATGAATAAGATTACATGGACAGGGGGGACCTGATCCTAGATCAGCACTCCTACAATGAGACGTTTTATTAATTCGGGCCCCAATCCTCTTCTTAAGAAGCAAATAGAAACTACCATACACAGAAACTCTAGGGTCTACGTCCAAAATGGCACCCTATTCCCTATGTAGTGCACACATTTTGGCCAGAGCTTTGCCAGAGGCTTATAAGACTCTAGCCAAAAGTAGTGCACTATAAAGGAAATAGGGTGAATTTGGACTCCCCTAGGATTGCATCCCTGAGGTGCCAGACAAGCTTTGTATAAAAATATCTCATAATAATAACAGTAAAGAAAAAAATACACAACAATAAAACTATTTAATATTATATAAAATAGATTTCATAAAAGGTTTGAGAAGAATTCCAAAAAACAGATTTTTGGTTCAAAGTTGAAAAGTTCATGTTCATTTTCCTCTTAAAGATTGTCTGTAACGTTGTTGGTCCACTATCCCACTGTCCAATTTTACTGTAAGTGTGACGCTGTAAATTTCACTTTGTGTAATGCTGTCCATTTCACTGTGAGTGTAACGCTATCCTTTTCACTTTGAGTGTCATGATGTCCATTTCACTGTACGTGTTACGCCTCTCCTAAAGCCAATCGTCCATTTGAATACTGGAGGGTGAGTGAGCTAAAAGCAAGCTGCACACTTTCAGAGTTGCCCAATTCTCAATATCCACTAGGCAACACTGGAGTAACATTGGCAACTGTCCTTAAGTCACCTTTGACCTTTCAGGCTTCACAGCCTCAGTATCCCAAGATCCTCCACTTCAGGAGGGTGCGATGAGGTAAAATGCGAGGCAGTGCAGTTAGCTGACCTTTCACCTTCAGCCTCCACCAATGAAAGGCAGGCTCCGGGTCAAGCTTACCATGCTGTGAAGTAGGAGCTTATTCTCACTGCATTAACAGAGTTTTTTTTTTGCTTTACAGTACCCACACGGAGACAGACAGACAGACATAATTTTCTAAAACATTTTAGTCATTTAGCAGACGCTCTTATCCAGAGCGACTTACAGTTAGTGAGTGCATACATTTTCCAGACAGAGGGGGATATTTATCCTTCCTAGTCTGCAAGCGTCACTGTGCTCCATCGTGCGGTTCCAAACCACCGCAGTCCAAATTGGTCCTATTGTGATCATGCACACCTCTGAAAACCAGGTCCGGTGGTGGGTCCCCTTCCCCCCCCATCCCCAAACCCGAGTGGTCCATTTGTGGTCCTACACATCCCATCTCAAGTACTGCGCTCCAACCTTCACAGCCCCCTTTCTAGATCTAGTAGCGGTTCATTTGCGGTCCTGCCTCAATAATAGCGGTTGAGGCTGCGCGTCCCAGGTATGTCGGGTTGACCGTTCATCCAGATCTCTCGTATTATCCTCTCCCTCTCCTCCAGCCGCTGTGCCCGCTCCAGCTCCTCCGCAGACGTGAACACGTTCATGTTGAGTGTGCGCTCGAAGCGGCGGTGGCGGCGTGCCGACAGGTCCGACGTGGTTTCCCAGTCTGAGTCCGAGTCGCTGGAGTCGGATGAGGAGTCGGTGGGCCGCAGGCCATTCTTGGTGGTGGTGCCAGGGCAGCGGCGGCGAGGCTGGCAGTCGGTGCGGCACGAGATCTGGACCACCAGAGCAAACAGGGTGAGGAAGAGGCCCAGGCACACGCCGCACATAAAGTAGAGGGCTGCGCGCTCTGGGTGGTCTGTAGGAAAAGGGACGGGGAGAGAGAGGGGAGAAGGAGATAGAGAGAGAGAGGAGGGGAGAGAGATAAATAGTCAAATACTGTCATATATAGAGCCAAATGGTTCATATGTAGCTCATACATTTCAACATCTTGCCTTTGAAAGCAAAAACTAATTTAACTCTGACTTGCTCGGCCTGTTTTGCTGAACTTACTCATTCTGCTCAGTAAATCTGCTCAGTAAATCATTTTGAACACAGAGGTACGATATGAAATGAAATAATCTGTACTTCTGCTCCCATGACCACAGAGACTGGGACAGACAATAGCGGTTAAATCACAGGGGGAGCTCACACAGGCTGATAGAGAGAGAGAAAGATGGAGGGAGGGAGAGAGCGAGCAAGAGAGTGTGTGTGTAAGAGAGGGAGAGAAAGAGCATACAGAACATTTTACCTCACTGAAGTATCTCCTGTATATGTTTGTGTGTAATTTATTTGCGTTAAGCCCAGGGCTTAAGCAGGCTGCAATGCTATGTACCGTGGTGTGTGTACTGTGTGTATACCTCACCATGCAGTAACTGTGTTTATTTGGCCATATGAGTGGGAGGTAAAGGAAGAGGAAATACTTTGTCTGGGATGAAAGGTTTGAGTTTTGTTCAGTTGAGGGCCGAGGCTGTCTGTCTATTTTCTTAGGCTTCCCGAGAGTTAAAAGTGGATACAAGGTGTCTCTCTCTCTCTCTCTCTCTCTCTCTCTCTCTCTCCATCCACATACATAGACACGCAGTGCTGTCTGTGGTGGTGAGGCAGCCAGCGGAAAATACAGTGCCTAGGTGTTGGTAATGTTCTCTAGTTGCGCCATGGTTAGCTCAGTGTTCTGTCACTTGTGGGGACAGTACGTCACCGCCAAGTCTAAGGGTAGAGCTAAACAATTCAAGCCCCTTGGGTGCTGCCATAGAGTTACATTAGAAGTGCCCATCCAAGAAGGCTCAAGGTCATTGGCCACAGATAAAATGATGGCAAATCACATTATATCTACAGTAGCTTTGATTGCACTGATCATGTCAACATCATACTTTCAAAATCTTAGCTAGCAGTCATCATCATGAATCAAGTCGACAATCTACTGGAAAATCCTTTTTAATCCTTGTCATATGAAGAGAAATAATGAAGAGAAATTATAGATAAAACGTATCGATGCTCATCGGCCAATGGACATAAACATTATACAACAAGCTGGAAATCGCAAATTCAACAATGAGTGGTTTGGAAGGAATCAGTGACAGTGGCTAACTGCAAGCATTGCAAAGCAATCCCTTGTCTGCTATTCAGTGGAGTGGCCCCAAATCTGTGATTAAGGGTCTCTTTTCCAAATGTAAAATTATAAACATTCAACATTGGCCATGCTGTCAATGAAGCATGATTTGTGCCGTGCTCAAAACAACTGTTAACTCGGAACTGCGAAAACTTGACTTCAGTGAATTCAAGACAACTGGGAAGTCTGGAAAAAACGAGCTCCAACTGTGAAAATACGTTTTGAACGGTCATCCAACTCGGAATTGTAAATCCGGAACTCGGGCCTCTTTCTAGAGCTTCAACCTGAAGATCAATGACGTCATCATGATTCAACCTTGTTTTTTTTTTCCAGAGTTCCAAGTTGTCTTGAAAGCACCATAAATCCAGAGAATGCCAGACTTTGACGACAAAATTTGCCCACAAAGGACCGCCACGTCACCTTCCTGTACAAGTGAGCACAGCACAACAAGGTGAGTTAAAAAATGTATTGTATGCTGCTGCATCAATGATGTAATATGCCAGGGAGATATGTATACTGTAGATAAGAAAGTCATACTAAGTGTATGTTGTGTAGTAGGCTGTTAGTATCCCATGTGCCTCACCCTAATCATTTGGTCTATTTACCCCTCATAATTTTGCCTACTGTTCTGACTTGGTGGTACACATGTAGCCTATAACCTGTTATAGATAAATGTAATCATCGAATATTGTAAGAGCTTTTATTGTCTGCTTATATGCCCCATTTATTTATCCTACGGTTCTGACTTGGTGTACAGGGAGAACACCATAAGAACGGCCCATGTTCTGAATTCTGACTGTACATTTCAAAAGTGCTGAACAAATAGTTATATTGACTACGTCCGTCCTAGCTCGCTCATGAATGTCTTAATCCAAATGACGGATTGCCTCTTATCCGCTTGGCGTCCCTTTATGCCATAGTTTGTACATCTCAATTGTCATTAGAAACCACATTTGTTTAAGCAAGTCAGCCATATCAGCTATGTTGTTTTAAAAGGCAGTAAATGAGGATGAATGAACTGTTTCGCTGCCAGACAAGGCTCCGCTGATAGCCAGGTGTAGCAGTGGTAAAATGTTGGGACAGCTTTATGTAGGCCCTAACAGTTTGTGGGCACCGTTTGTCACCGTTGTAGTGCAATTAATGTATTGTTAAGTGTTGTGTAGTGGCTTTGCTGGCATGCATCCCACATATTTTTTTGTTGTTGTTGCCCCACCAAGATTTACATGCTAAAATCGCCACTGCTCAGAGCCCAACCTTAACCCCTTCTCTACCTCACTGTCATCTAAGAGATTGTGTGAATGTTGCTGTACATGCAAAGTTGCTGTAATGTTGTGTGAATGTAGCTGTACCTGCTCTGAAGCTGTAGGTTGTGTGAACGTTTAACCTGCTATAAAGGGGTCCGTTGTGTGAACGTTGTTCTTGCTTTGTTGGTGTAACGTTGTGTGAACGTTGCTGTACTTGCTATGTTGGTGTAATGTTGTGTGAATGTTTCTGTACATGCAAAGTTGCTGTAATGTTGTGTAAACTTAGCTTTATATGCAAAGTTGCTGTAATGTTGTGTGAACATAGCTGTACCTGCTCTGAAGCTGTAGGTTGCGTGAACGTGTAACCTGCTATAAAGGGGTACGTTGTGTGAACGTTGTTCTTGCTTTGTTGGTGTAATGTTGTGTGAACGTTGTTCTTGCTTTGTTGGTGTAATGTTGTGTGAACGTTGCTGTACCTGCTTTATAGATGTACAGTGGGGGAAAAAAGTATTTAGTCAGCCACCAATTGGATTTTTAATGAATTTATTTGCAAATTATGGTGGAAAATAAGTATTTGGTCAATAACAAAAGTTTCTCAATACTTTGTTATATACCCTTTGTTGGCAATGACACAGGTCAAACGTTTTCTGTAAGTCTTCACAAGGTTTTCACACACTGTTGCTGGTATTTTGGCCCATTCCTCCATGCAGATCTCCTCTAGAGCAGTGATGTTTTGGGGCTGTCGCTGGGCAACACGGACTTTCAACTCCCTCCAAAGATTTTCTATGGGGTTGAGATCTGGAGACTCCAGGACCTTGAAATGCTTCTTACGAAGCCACTCCTTCGTTGCCCGGGCGGTGTGTTTGGGATCATTGTCATGCTGAAAGACCCAGCCACGTTTCATCTTCAATGCCCTTGCTGATGGAAGGAGGTTTTCACTCAAAATCTCACGATACATGGCCCCATTCATTCTTTCCTTTACACGGATCAGTCGTCCTGGTCCCTTTGCAGAAAAACAGCCCCAAAGTATGATGTTTTCACTCCCATGCTTCACAGTAGGTATGGTGTTCTTTGGATGCAACTCAGCATTCTTTGTCCTCCAAACACGACGAGTTGAGTTTTTACCAAAAAGTTATATTTTGGTTTCATCTGACCATATGACATTCTCCCAATCCTCTTCTGGATGCACTCTAGCAAACTTCAGACGGGCCTGGACATGTACTGGCTTAAGCAGGGGGACACGTCTAGCACTGCAGGATTTGAGTCCCTGGCGGCGTAGTGTGTTACTGATGGTAGGCTTTGTTACTTTGGTCCCAGCTCTCTGCAGGTCATTCACTAGGTCCCCCCGTGTGGTTCTGGGATTTTTGCTCACCGTTCTTGTGATCATTTTGACCCCACGGGGTGAGATCTTGCGTGGAGCCCCAGATCGAGGGAGATTATCAGTGGTCTTGTATGTCTTCCATTTCCTAATAATTGCTCCCACAGTTGATTTCTTCAAACCAAGCTGCTTACCTATTGCAGATTCAGTCTTCCCAGCCTGGTGCAGGTCTACAATTTTGTTTCTGGTGTCCTTTGACAGCTCTTTGGTCTTGGCCATAGTGGAGTTTGGAGTGTGACTGTTTGAGGTTGTGGACAGGTGTCTTTTATACTGATAACAAGTTCAAACAGGTGCCATTAATACAGGTAACGAGTGGAGGACAGAGGAGCCTCTTAAAGAAGAAGTTACAGGTCTGTGAGAGCCAGAAATCTTGCTTGTTTGTAGGTGACCAAATACTTATTTTCCACCATAATTTGCAAATAAATTCATTAAAAATCCTACAATGTGATTTTCTGGATTTCTTTCCCTCAATTTGTCTGTCATAGTTGACGTGTACCTATGATGAAAATTACAGGCCTCTCTCATCTTTTTAAGTGGGAGAACTTGCACAGTTGGTGGCTGACTAAATACTTTTTTTCCCCACTGTAGGTTGTGTGAGCATTGTACTTAATATGTTGCTGTAATGTTGTTTGAACGTTGAACCGGCTATGAAGGTGTAAGTTGTGTGAACGCTGTACTTGCTATGTTGCTGTAAACGTTGTGTGAACGTTGCTGTACCTGCTATATAGTTGTAGGCTGCCAGTGAGCTACTGATAAGGGCCATGTCGGTGCTGCCCGTTGTAGCGTTGATCACAGGGTTCATGTCCGGCAGCCTGGGGGCTTTGTCCTCCAATCCTCCCTCGTTTGTCTTCACCTCCCCAGAGTAGGAACCAGACTCCCTCCCTCGCTTCTTCTTTCCTGGGGGGATAGCAAACGGGACATTGACATTGGGGTCAGACTCTTATGATCAGATACATGCACGCAGGCAAGCAGGCAACAATGATGTATATAAACCCTGGATTGCTGATGCTATGTATTGGCCAATGAGAGGCTTTGAAGCCACCGGTCGGCCATATTAAGATAATATGTTTTTTATTGTCACATACACCGGATAGGTGCAATGAAATGTGTTGTTTAACAGGGTCAGCCATAGTAGGACGGTGCCCCTGGAGCAAATGAGGGTTAAGAGCCTTGTTCAAGGGCACATCTGGCACTCCCCAGAAGAAGCAGTCCTCCGTAGGAATGAATGGAATTCTACAGTATGTCATTTAAATGTTTAAAGGACAAAATGTTTTGTTGTAGTGGGGACAGTAACATTATAACTTTTGAAAAATTATACTTTAAAGAACATGTACGCATTAATAAATGCATTTCTATAGCTTCCAAAATATGTTTTTCAATGGTGGGGTAGTGCCAACTTGGAGGTGCAGTGGCTTCAAAACAGCACCCCCTGTCAGTCATCTAGTGTATATATAAATCATTGGCAGGCAGGAATGTACGTAAACACACAGTTCTATGAAGATACAGTGCCAGAGAATCAACATTCATTCACTGAAAATCTCACTGAGTCAAACCGCACATATGTACAGTGCTATGAAAAAGTTTTTGCCCCCTTTCTAATTTTCTCCACTTTTGCATATTTGTGATACTGAATGTTATCAGATCTTTAATCAAAACTTAATATTAGATAAAGGGAACATAAGTGAACAAATAACACAACAATTACATATTTATTTCACTTATTTCATAAACAAAGTTATGCAACACCCAATTCCCCTGTGTGAAAAAGTAATTGCCCCCTTACACTCAATAGCTGGTTGTGCTACCTTTAGCTGCAATGACTTGTTCTTACTGTGGAATGCAGAGTTTGGTTTTCGCCAGGCATTACTGGAACCATGTCGTCCAAAAAGTTATACTTTTGAATCATCTGTCCATAGAACATTCTTCCAAGAGTCTTGATGATCATCCAGGTGCTTTTTGGCAAACTTGAGTCAACTTTTTGGACGAGATGGGTTCCATTACGCCTGGCGAAAACCAAACACTGCATTCCACAGTAAGAACATCATACCAAAGTTCAAGCATGGTGGTGGTGGTGTGATGGTTTGGGGATGCTTTGCTGCCTCAGGACCTGGACGACTTGCCTTAATAGAAGGAACCATGAATTCTGCTCTGTATCGGAGAATTCTACAGGAGAATGTCAGACCATCCGTCTGTGAGCTGAAGCTGAAGCGCAGCTGGGTCATGCAGCAAGACAATAATCCAAAACACACAATCAAGTCTACATGAAAATTGCTAAAAAGCAACAAATTTGAAGTTTTGGAATGGCCTAGTCAAAGTCCAGACCTAATCCCAATTGAGATGTTGTGGCAGGACTTGAAACGAGCAGTTCATGCTTGAAAACCCACACGTCACTGAGTTAAAGCAGTTCTGCATGGAAGAGTGGGCCAAAATTCCTCCACAGCGACGTGAGAGACTGATCAACAACTACAGGAAGCATTTGTATGGAGTCATTGCAGCTAAAGGTGGCACAACCAGTTATTGAGTGTAAGGGGGCAGTTACTTTTTCACACAGGGGAATTGGGTGTTGCATAACTTTGTTTATGAAATAAATTAAATAAATATGTAATTGTTGTGTTATTTGTTCACTTATGTTCCCTTTATCTAATATTAGGTTTTGGTTGAAGATCTGATAACATTCAGTATCACAAATATGCAAAAGTAGAGAAAATTAGAAAGGGGGCAAATACTTTTCCATAGCACTGTAACTACTCCAGGTAAACAACACATGAAAACAACCTAATATGGCTGCCAAGTGCTCAAGAATGTGTGTTGTCATATCTACAGCTGTGTTGCATTCAGTGATTGGTAAGAGTAGAGTGTGTCAAGTGTTTCCAGAGTACTGTGGGTCAGGGTTTCCCAAACTCGGTCCTAGGGCCCCCCCTGGGTGCACGTTTAGTATTTTGCCCTAGCACTACACAGCTGATTCAAATAACCAACTCATCATCAAGCTTTGATTATTTGTATCAGCTGTGTAGTGCTAGGGCAAAAACCAAAATGTGCACCCAGGAAGGGCTCCAGGCCTGAGTTTGGGAAACCCTGCTGTGGGTGGACTACTGAGTCACACACACACATTTCCTCCATGGCTGTGGTCTCCCTGTCAACATATGGTCGGTTTACTAATATGCCTACACTGTGTAACTGTATATGACACTACTACTACTACTACTAGTGACTCAGAACAGCATTCCACTTGGTTCTGTCCAGCTCAAATAAAATGTTATTTATCACATGCGCCAAATACAACTGGTGTAGACTTCACAGTGAAATGCTTGCTTATGAACCTTTCCCAAATGATTGCTTACGAACCTTTCCCAACGATGCAGAGTTTAGAAATAATAATAAAACATTAAATAGTAACTAACACAAGAGGAATTAAAATAAAATACACAAGAATGGAGCTACAGTATACACAGGGAGTACCAGTACCAGATCAATGTGCAGAGGTACGAGGTACTTGAGGTAGATACAGTATGTACATGAAGGCAGGGTAAAATGACTAGGCATCCGCACGTGTCAAACTCATTCCACGGAAGGCCGAGTGTCTGCGGGTTTTCGCTCCTCTCTTGTACTTGATTGATGAATTAAGTTCACTAATTATTAAAGAACTCCGCTCACCTGGTTGTGTAGGTCTTAATTGAAAGGAAAAAACAAAAACCTGCAGACACTAGGCCCTCCATGGAATGAGCTTGACACCCCTGGGCTAATGCCATCATACTGCAGGCCAGTGGTTCATAACTTCGGTCCTCGAGTACCCCCAGTCATTGGCGACCCCTCCCACCCTCTATACCCTCAGTTCGAGAGGCTTCCATCTGGCAGGCCCTTCAGAATGCCCATGGTCAAGAAGAACGTGTTCAAACAGTCATTCGTTCCTTGTGCTGTTGGACTACTAAATGCAAAGTAAATTGTATCAGTATATGTACTTATCTATCCAGTGCAGTTCGGACAACGGTCGGTTGTGAGTGAATGTATTAATGTCCTCTATGTTTTTAGTGCATGCAACATGATAGACTGACTGGTTTAAATGTGTATGATGTGAGAATGAATGTATGTGTATGTGATCCTTTTAATGGAAGGTGATGCCAAAGAAAAATGTCCATCCTGGATGGACAATAAAGTTTTATTCTATTTATTGTCGCCCCAGATAAGCACACCTGATTCAACTTGTCAACTAATCATCAGGCCCTCAATGAGTTGAATCAGGTATGTTTGTCCGGGACTACAACAAAAATGTGTGCTGTTGGGGGTACTCAAGGACTGGAGTTGGGAACCACTGCTGTAGGCCTATGGATGCATTGGCGTTGCATGCCATTATCAGCTGCAGAATGGGTTCACATGGCTGATATCCTGAAAAAATAATGACAATCAAATAAAACTAATTGGAGAGCTTATGACTGAACAAAAAGGTCATGTTCATTTGAGAATACAACACAAAAACAGACAAATTAGAGACAGATTCCCTTCCCCTCTTTATTGCATGATTGTGATCAATCAACATTGACACTAGTTCACCTTGAATAATAGTTTTAAGTTAATAATTAAAACAAGTTTAAACAATATTTCAAAGTGTACAAGTAAGCTAAATCATATGTAAATGTTAGACATCTTAGTAACAAGTAGGCTATTTGATCTAAAGCATCATTTCAGGTGAACAATAAAAAGTCAATACCAGAGGTCGCCAACCTCGCTGCACTGATCCCTGATTTACTGGATGAGCAGACGTCTGTATCAGCACAGCAATAGCACACTTGATTATCAACTAATTAGGTTTGATAAATTTAATCAGGTGTGTTAGTGCTGGGCTGGAACAGAAGCCTGCACACCCAGCAGAGTTGGCCTGCTCCAGTTGTAATAGATTTATACATTGTGTGTGACTTTGAAACTGTATTTCTGTTTACAAACTTTGGTAACATAGGTACACATATAATTCATGGTATACAAGGATGTACCCTTATTCTCTTGGGACATTCATTGGGACCTCTTCATCTGCAGACATTGTTTCACAGCTCTCTGTATCAGAGGACAGAAAACATCACAAAGAAGCAGGCTGCATTATATTCAAATTAGACATCACTAAATATTATGTTGCTAAATCGTATCTCTCTGTCCTGGAGAATCTTCTCCCTATTGAGAGTGGCCTACTCTCCCTTCTCTGACAGCTGGAACTCCTAGCAATCCTTTCACCATATTCCATGGTTGTTAGCTAGCTAGCTCCCTAGCTACAAATGCCTTTCAAGTTACAACGATAAATACAGCAAGATATCTAGCTAACTAGCTAATATGAAGTTGCTAGCTGGTGATATTTAATTCACTTGGCTAGCTACTGTATACATTTTAGTCATTTAGCAGACTCTCTTATCTTGGGAATCGAACCCACAACCCTGGCGTTGCAAACGCCATGCTCTACCAACTGAGCTACATCCCTGCCAGCCATTCCCTCCCCTACCCTGGACGACGATGGGCCAATTGTGCGCCGCCCCATGGGTCTCCCGGTCGCGGCCGGCTACGACAGAGCCTGGATTCGAACCAAGATCTCTAGTGGCACAGCTAGCACTGCGATGCAGTGCCTTAGACCACTGCGCCACTCGGGAGACAGTATGTAAAGTTAGCTAGCTGGCGAACAATACATTAGCAGCTCAATTGAGCCTGCACACATAGTTCCTGTAGCTATAATTTTCTAAATATATTTACTTACTTGAATAGGTTCTCCCACTACCTGGGTCCTTAGAAAAAGGAAATAATGGGCAATCTTCCAGAAGTTTCAGGTGGTAGAAAAACACAGCCAGCCATGTGGACGATTGGAGGACTTCCCTACCAGACTGATTCTGGTCTTCCAACATGGCGCCTGGTGCAGTTGCT